TGTAGCCGCCCCTGGGTTGTCGATCACCTTGTTGGTTTGAGGAGTTGAGGGCCATGACCCTAATCGTTGGGGTCGTGGCTTTCGTCGGGTTGGATGGCCTCTAAGTCAAGGCCCTCATCGTGGATCCCATCCCATGGTAGGTAGAACTGTACATGCGTCCTGTCGGACCGTATTTGGACAGTAGATCGCTGTACCGGTTGACACCGCCGTGTGGTGTTGTCTTGTCTGCACAGCGTGGCACAGGAATGGTGTCTGACCAGACCGAGGTGACCACTGTCGCCTCGGTCCTTGCGGGGTCAGAGTAGCATCCTTGCTTTTGTCAGAGCAGGCACGTTTGCCCGGGCTTGACTTCTCCCCGTCCCAACCGAGGGTCATGACGGTGGGGAGGTCGTGAGTCTCGTGCGCGTCATGCGGTTTGAGAAGGAAGGAAGAGGTCGTGGCTGACTCTGGCCTTGGCGTCTGGCCTGGTTTTCTTGGCTCAGCTGGGCCTCGGTCGTTCGGGCCTTTGTTAGCTGATATGTTGTGGGTCACGTGGCCCGCCAACTAATCAGTGTCTTGAGATACCCGGGGTTATAACCCCGACACTTATCATCTCAAGAAACTTTGCCCCACCATCTATTGTTGGCACATCCTCATCAGAGCATCAACACTCAAATAGTATCGCCATATAGCTATAGCATCTGAATATATGCTATTCATATTCCATTCTTTTGGTTTGACCATTTATATAAATAAAATACCTTCTACAGATCCCGTAGTAACATGCAGAGTTTGTACCAAGTATCTACTTAGATAAGTTAAGTGCATGTTTGGAACATAGGAATTTCGCAAGAACCGTGAAAGAATTTCACAGGAATCGATTCAGTTTTACAGGAAAAAACATGGAAATAGGAAAAAAATTCCGCATTACAAACAGGCCCTGAAACAACCCTTAATTTTAAATGGATGGAGCAGAGAATACGTAAAAATCTATAAATCAAATCTGTATGGTTTGGACCTATTGGCGTAACGCTACGAGCCCGATAATCCTACACGGACACAACCATTACAGTGGGAAAACGTCAAAGCCCATCAACTTGCTCTGGCGACCGTGTGGTTCCTCTTGGGCTCTTGGGTCCCCGAACTCAAGCGGATTGGCGTCGGTCCTTGGTTTCATCCTTCACTTTCCAGCCGTCCCTTCCTTCCGTTCCGTCACTCGTGCCGCCTTTGCTTTTGTTTCGTCTCCGGCCCACCTCGCCTCTCACCCTGCATCGCGAATTCGCGTTGTAGCGTGCTGAGAAATCGGAGTCCCAACTCGGCTGGTCCCAAATGCAGCAGCCCCAACTCCCAAGGCCTCCAACTCAGCCGCAGGCCCGCAGCACCAACGCGGTGGCAAGCGAGATGGCAGCCGCAAGCGCAAGGTGCCATGTCTGATCCATGCGTCCACATCTGCCACCGTGATCGGCGGGTCACTGCTAGCGCTAGCCTCACACCACGTCCACGACCCACCGCGGCGTGTTTCAACTTTCGAGGCTACGTCTCCGTCGCGCCATTCTCTGCTGCGGAGGGAAGCTAGCCGAGCCCGCCACCTGCTCGTGCAAATGCGCAGGACGGCCTGCCATAACAGCAGCGCCCCCTCATGGTACACCACGTAACTCTAGGAACCACAGTGGCTAGCGGGGACCGAGAGGATTGGCAGTAGGGGAGCCGAATTCCAGCACTAACTGTAACTGCGCTTCTGCTTGACTCATGGTTTGAGCTAGGCAATTCGACAAGAATAAGGGACACGCTGGCACGCAGCTCCATGCTGACGAGGGGAGTGCAGGAGCAGTAATTTTCTCATGCGCAGGTATGCTGTCAACGAGACCATCTTTGACCTCTCCGTAGTCTTTTTTTTGCGGATCCATGGATCTTTTCATCATTGTTTTGCCTGTGAATGACCTTCTATGACCACGTTGTATTCCTTACGACCTTAGCAGAAGAAAGAGAAGGCGATCTTCTCTCTCTAAAGTGGATGGCACAGAATTAGCACACATTTACTGCCATGACGGCTATGGCCTATGGTCTATGGATCACTTCCATGGTAAAGGTCAGAACTATCAACTGCCAGTTCGTCTTGTCGATGTGCCACTAATTAGTCATTTAACTAGTAGGTGCTTCAGAGAGATAGCATCGCACTTGGGCAATTGAGCTATCCGTAGGCATCGCTCGAACTCATAGCCATAGGGTTGTCTCGAATGGTGTAAAGGTATGAGTCTGATGAAGCTGAATAGGCTTTGCTCTCGCACAATTTTAGTACTAGAAGTTATACTCTACTTTGCCTAATTACACAGAACACGTGTCTGAAACCATTGGAGAACTAGGAGGGTCAGACTCTGCTTTATCTGTTCACTTCCACATGCCTAAACTTTCTTTTAAACAAATATGCCCGAATTGTGCCTATTTCTGTTAACAAAGAACACATAAAATTAACTTAGAAACTAGTGTATAAACTACTAGTATCTTTAATTTGTCCTGCTGCTGTTCACGGGAATGTGGTGAAACTCTGAATGGAAATAGCGTGTGTGATCTGCTTAACAACCGGCGGATCTGCCAAGGTGGAATAGTGCCAGAAATCTGCTAACTAAGCATGTTTTTAAGTGAGAAACATCAGAGGACAAAATGGACACCACAAATATCCCACTAGATTTGGTAAAAAGGGAAGGCATGATGTACCTATACTATAAACCATTTAACAATGAATCATTTAGATGTATAGGCTGATCTTTCTAGCCACAGTTCTGCTCCGCAAAGTGTTAATCATTCTTTGACATTTCTTGGTCACCTAGGCATAAATAACGTGCCATAGGTTGAGCTTTGTGGCCCACCAATTCGTGCATAGCAATATAAGTAGCCTGATATTTATTAGCTGAGGCGTGGACCAAACCATCTAAAAGCTGATATGTGAATCATGTTTGTCTAGTGAATGCTGGGTTACCGTCTGGTGGGTGTGCATGTTGGGCACAATAAGATGGGAGCATGGGACCATACCCTGGAATCTCTGATGGCAACAGGGATATCAATGATCTTCCCCTGATATTGGTTGACCATTAAGTCAGATGACTGCAGCATATCTATGACTGAGCAGAACTTTGCCTGCATTCTCTGGTAGCCTTGTTCTTCCCAGTTCTCTTTTGCAAAATTCCCAAACTCTGAACATTCTAACCCTCTGTTAAGATATTTTTCAGATAGTCTGACTATCTAGCCTCTAAAAACTATCTAGGTTGTATTTTTTTGCTTTCCAACTTGTTGGTTGCATGCAAATATCACATTGGTGTTATTCCTTTCAGAAATGACATGATAGACTACCCTGTGAAAAATAGGATAGCTAACAGCCTAACACCAAGGACCAAATCTGGCATTCCTCTATTTTTGGTCCCTATCCCCAGAGGGGAATGCTGACTGATGGCCTGTGAACTTTTGAGGATGCAGTTATGATGTTTGGTTCAGATAACTAGGCTAAACTTTAGGCAACGTCACCTTGGCTAGCCACTAGTTAACAGTCAAGTTTGGATGTTGAGAAATCTTCATTCTTCTTAATATAATGATACGCAGCGCTCCTGTGTGTTCGGGAAAAAAATCTTCAAGAGGAACATCAGGAGGGGAAATCTTGCTCGCTCATTCCTTCTGAAGTTCTCTGTGTTGCTAGATTTCTGAACCTATGGGCTATGGTCACTTTTAGGGCCTGTTCGGTTCCGGGGATTCACGTCCCGGAACCATTCCGGCTAGGATCGCTTATTTCATTTGTATACACCGGACTTCACCGAGAATCATTCCGGACAGGAATAACTGCAAATGAACGGGCCCTTAAGGTATGATTTGGATGTTTGGTTCAGCTGACTCTGGCAAGACATGTACCCAGTATCGATACAGTCTGGAATTGATTATGGGTGGTTAAGGGGGTACGGCAGAATAGCCAGTAGTTTCAGAAGGTCAGCTTATTAGTTTGGGTTACCCCAAGAAAATATGTAGCCCTCACCTCTCAGCCTTAAAAATACCATGCAAATAGGCATGAAAATTTTCTCAGCACATTGGTGTATAGAATGTGATATCATGTAGCATCCTACTAAATTTTCAACTCAAACTCTGAATATACAAGAGAAACCGAAAATACAAATTGGAATGCTCGTTATTATCCTTTCCTGATTCCCTGAAAAGTTCTTTTTTTTTTGTTTCCTCCTGAAAAAAGTCACTGTTTGAATTGGAATCAGAATCTGTTTGGATGCTTAATGCTAGCATACTGCACATCCATGATTTTTCTTCCAGCTTTTCATGACTTATTTATTTGGTGTTTCAAAGATTGGGATAGTTTTTCTTCCAGCTTTTCATGACTTATTTATTATCCTAATAGCGTCTAAGAAGAAGCTGAAATGCTTGGAGGGAAACATATTGCCTAGGCCACTTGAGGCGGTGCATGCACTGACCTACTGGCGCTCGGGCTGAGTGCGGCAGCAAACCTAAAACGAAGTGCAGGGCCCTGTTGTCATCCTTCCCACAATCTCCCGCACTGTGCTCGCCGGAGCCCACCGCCGCTGGCACACCCGTCATTTTCGCCACCGTCGCTGTCCCCTGGCGCGCCCGCGCACACATGCTCCCCGACCCTCCCCGCGACTGGCTCAGTGGCTCGTGCGCGCCCCAACCCACTCATCATGCACAAACCGGGTTGAAAAGCCGTGCGTCGTGCGCCGCGCAATCATGTCATCCCGGACGACGTCTGCGGCCTCCATTAGGCCGTTCCAACCCACGGAAGGCAGACCTGCAGCAGCTTCAATGCTTCGCTCTCTCCACTCTCCAGCAGGTGCAGTGCAGCTCACTTTGGTCGTTTCATAACAAGCTCGATTGATCTCGATCGAGCTAGCGGCCCGATGACAGATGCCACTGCCATGTAGTAGTAGTAGCTTAGGTGCAATCTAGCTAGCTAGTAGGTCTGATCACCGCCATCATCCCCCGGTGTTTTACTAGTGCCATCCGACGAGGAGAGGATGAGGGTCCGCACGGCCATTCTCCTCCTGCTAATCCTCGTCGTCCTCTTCCTCGCCGCGTCGACGTCGGCGGCCAGGAAGGCCGGCGACATGCGGGGGCGGCAGCGACAGATCCTGCTGCAGGAGAAGGCGACTCTGCTGGCCCTGAAGCAGGGGCTCACGCTGCCGTCGTCGGCAGCGGCGGCCTTGGCGGACTGGAACGAGTCCAACGGCAACGTCTGCGGCTTCACCGGCGTCAGGTGCGACTGGCGGCGGGAGCACGTTGTTGGGCTCTCTCTCGCCAAGATGGGCATCCGTGGCGCTATTCCACCGGTCATTGGCGAGCTCTCGCACCTCCGGATCCTCGACTTGTCCAAAAACAACATCTCTGGCCAGGTACCGACGTCCGTCGGCAACCTCACGCGACTGGAGAGCCTCTTCATGAACAACAACGGCATCTCCGGCAGCATCCCTTCAATCTTCAGCGACCTCTTACCACTACGGACGAGGCTCCGGCAACTCGACTTCTCCAACAATCACATCTCCGGTGCCCTTCCGCTGGACCTTGGCAGATTTGGGCAACTCCAAAGCCTTGACGTCTCCGGCAACAACATCTCTGGCACCGTCCCTCCGTCCATCGGCAACCTGACTCTCCTAGAGCACTTCTACATGCATGACAACATCATCTCTGGAGAAATACCTCTGGCCATCTGCAACCTAACAAGCCTCAAGGATCTGGAAATGTCCGTCAACCATCTGACGGGGCAGATTCCAGCCGAGCTCTCCAACCTCGTACGGCTCCGGACACTCGGCGTCTCCTCCAACCGTATCACCGGTGCCATTCCGCCGGCCCTCGGCAGCCTTGGGCAGCTCCAAATCCTCAACGTCTCCGGCAACCAGATCTATGGCACCATCCCTCCGTCCATCGGCAACCTGACTCAACTTGTGTTCCTCTGCATGCAAAAAAACTCCATCTCTGGAGAGATCCCTCTGGCCATCTGCAACCTAACAAGCCTTTGGGATCTCGAAATGTCCGTCAACAACCTCACGGGGCAGATTCCAGCTGAGCTCTCCAACCTCCGGAACATTGGAGCCATTGACCTCGGCAGTAACCAACTCCATGGAGGAATACCACCTTCCCTTTCCGAGCTGAGGGACATGTTCTATCTCGGACTCCAGCAAAACAACCTGTCCGGGAACATCCCGCCAGCTATCTTCCTCAACTGCACAGGGTTGGGCCTCGTCGACGTCGGCAATAATAGTCTTTCTGGCGAGATCCCCCGCGCCATCTCGAGCACCACCAAGTGCCAGTTCGTCGTCATCAACCTCTACTCCAACAAGCTCCAAGGGACGCTTCCACGGTGGATCGCCAACTGCACCGATATGATGACGCTAGATGTGGAGGACAACTTGCTGAACGACGAGCTGCCTACGAGTATCATCTCGGGCATGAAGAAGTTAATGTACCTGCATTTGTCTATCAACAGTTTCCGGAGCCACGACGGCAACTGCAACTTGGATCCATTCTTCGTCGCGCTGTCGAACTGCACGAGCTTACAGGAGGTGGAGGCCTCCGCCGTGGGGATGGGTGGGCAGCTTCCAAGTCGGCTGGGCTCGCTGCTCCCGATCAGCATTTGCCACCTCAACCTGGAGTCGAACACCATCGAGGGCCCAATCCCGGAGTCTGTCGGGGACGTCATCAACATTACGTGGATGAACCTGTCGAGCAACTTGCTGAACGGGACGATCCCGAAGTCCCTCTGCCGGCTGAAGAGCCTGGAGCGGCTCGCGCTGTCCAACAACTCCCTGACAGGTGAAATTCCAGCGCACATTGACAACGCCACGAGCCTCGGCGAGCTGGATCTGTCAGGCAACGTGCTGTCAGGGGCCATCCCCAGCAGCATCGGGAGCCTTGCCGAGCTCCGATCTCTCTTCCTGCAGGGAAACAAGCTGTCTGGGACCATACCTCCGAGCCTCGGCCGGTGTGCCACTCTGTTGGTCATCGACCTCTCCAGCAACAGCTTGACCGGGGTGATACCAGACGAGATCCCCGGCATCGCCAAGATGACACTATTGACACTGAACCTGTCGCGCAATCAGCTTGGGGGCAAGCTGCCGACTGGCCTCAGCAACATGCAGCAAGTCCAAAAGATCGACCTGTCCTGGAACAACTTCAACGGTGAGATCTTCAGCCTCGGGGACTGCATTGCGTTGACGGTGCTCGACCTGTCACACAACTCGCTTGCCGGCGACCTCCCTTCGAAACTCGGCAAGCTGAAGTACCTCGAGAGCCTCGACGTCTCGAACAACAACCTGAGCGGTGAGATCCCCAATAGCCTGACCAATTGCTCCATGCTGAAATACCTCAACCTGTCATACAACGACTTCTGGGGCGTCGTCCCCACCACCGGCCCTTTCGTGAATTTCAGCTGTCTCTCCTACCTCGGCAACCGTCGCCTCTCTGGTCCGGTGCTCAGGCGCTGCGGAGGGCGCCACCGCTCGTGGTACCAGTCCCGGAAGTTCGTAGTCATCATGTGTGTGTGCTCAGCGGTTCTGGCGTTCGCGCTGACGATCCTCTGCGCCGTCAGCGTCCGTAAGATCCGTGAGCGGGTCGCGGCAATGCGGGAGGACATGTTCAGGGGTCGCCGCGGCGGTGGCTCGTCGCCGGTGATGAAGTACAAGTTCCCCCGGATCACGTACAGAGAGCTGGTCGAGGCCACCGAGGAGTTCAGCGAGGATCGGCTCGTCGGGACGGGCAGCTACGGCCGGGTGTACCGCGGCACGCTGCGCGACGGCACCATGGTCGCCGTTAAGGTGCTGCAGCTCCAGACGGGGAACTCGACTAAGAGCTTCAACCGCGAGTGCCAGGTCCTGAAGCGCATCCGGCACCGGAACCTCATGCGCATAGTCACGGCGTGCAGCCTGCCGGACTTCAAGGCGCTGGTGCTGCCGTTCATGGCGAACGGCAGCCTCGAGCGGTGCCTCTACGCGGGGCCGCCGGCGGAGCTCAGCCTTGTGCAGCGGGTCAACATCTGCAGCGACATCGCCGAGGGGATGAAGTACCTGCACCACCACTCGCCGGTCAAGGTCATCCACTGCGACCTCAAGCCGAGCAACGTCCTCATCAACGACGACATGACCGCGCTCGTCTCCGATTTCGGCATCTCCCGGCTCGTCATGAGCATCGGCGGGTGGCAAACACCGCCGCCGACGTCGGCGCCTCCACCGCGAACATGCTGTGCGGCTCCATCGGGTACATCCCCCCAGGTACGTACTTACGTGGCATCCAAGGCCACGCTTCCCTCTCCTAATCAGTCCACTGCTCCGTTTGATCGTTCCTGAGTGGTTCTCGATGGACTGAAGAGTACGGCTACGGCTCGAACCCGACGACAAAGGGCGACGTGTACAGCTTCGGCGTGCTGGTGCTGGAAATGGTGACGAGGAGGAAGCCGACCGACGACATGTTCGACGCTGGACTGAGCCTGCACAAGTGGGTTAAGACACACTACCACGGCCGCGCCGACGCAGTGGTCGACCAGGCACTGGTGCGCATGGTCCGGGACCAGACGCCTGAGGTGAGGAGGATGTCGGACGTGGCCATCGGCGAGCTGCTGGAGCTCGGCATCCTCTGCAGCCAAGAGCAGGCGTCCGCGCGGCCGACCATGATGGACGCAGCCGACGACCTGGACCGGCTCAAGCGGTACCTCGGCGGCGACACCACGGCCACCTTCGCGTCATCGCTGGGATTCTCCTCCACCACGCTTGAAGACATCGATTGACCAGTAGGAGTATAGCTATATACTAAGGATTTGTACGTGATGCATACATGCATAGCTAGCATTCCTCCAGGACCAGGAGGTAAGGTATGGTTTTATTTTTAAACGAATGCAAAAACATAGGATTAATTCTTTGAAGGTGTCTTCTGATTGATGTAATGTAAGCCTTGGCCATAGATCTATCTATGTGACTATATATGATTTCTGTTCAACAAGGAGTTACTGAATTGCTCGCTCGTCTGTTTCTCTTTCTGACCTTTGCATATCTTCTATTTTTCAGTGTTGTATATATCATAGTACCTGAATAATTTGAAGCTCCTCAAGCAAGATGGCCCACACAAATAGCGCTTATATCTAACTTTTCTCGTTGTAACGTTTGTTTCTTTTCTGCCTTAACATTATTTTTTTCAAATAGTTTTTGTTTATTTGTTTGATTATAAGGGATACAAAGCAAGGCATTGTCCATACTTTTCCTCACCATCTTATTTATGTTACATCTTTCTATGTAACACTTTTGTGAACGGAGGAAATTAGGTTACATAGAAAATTCGTTTTTCATTTATTTTAATATAAATATTTATATATTGTTGTGAGAACATAGCAATTCTTTAATTATACTTTTGTCTGGGAGTTTGAGTTACACTGACAAAAAATCCTTCGATTTCAGAAGAAGATATATGAGTTAACATATTAGTCTATTACTAATTCAACAGATGCAAACTAACTTATGGTTGTGCAATTCCTTCCAATGTCAAATCAGGGTAGCCTTCAGTTTTCTCTTGGTGAACTTTGTACCCCTATGACATCCAACTTTTCTTAGTAACTGTTCATTTCCTTGGCCCCTCTTGTAAATTTAAATTTTCTAGCATCTTGTACCTTCTCTTGCAGATCCATAGTTGCCTTTTGTTGCTCTAAAACATTGTCAGATTCATCATAAAAATAACACCGCTCATATCGATCTGCTTAAGCCACTGTTGCCTCAAACAGCCGTCGACCATCCTGTCATCGCACTAACATCCATTGGTGCCTCAAGTCAACCCAAACAAATTCTAGAACTATCATTGACTCCGGTGAGCTAGTATCATCCTACACACGTACTGCTGACATCCATGCTATGACCACGTTAGTTTCTGCTTGTGACTAACTTCTATTTGAGACAATGTCAGTTTCTCTACTTGATCATGAGCTTACCACACATGTGCATTGGGTAATTGATGAACTGATTGCATGTAAACTCAAAAGCAGATAAGTGTTTTCGTGTTTTTTTTCATAATCTTGCCCATTGGATCGTCTTATTCCTCCCCTAGGTTACCGCTACGAAAGCCGTCAAATTTGAAGCATAATCTTGGAATCAACATGTTTTGTCATTTATCCCTTTGTCGATAACAACACTTTCCACCTAGAACACGGGGAAAAAAATTGGCGAGCTCAGAGCTACAACAAAAGAACATGCTTGGTTGGTGAGGCGTTGATCGCGGTGAGGAAAGATGTGTAGGGATTAGAAGTGCTTTGATATTTTTTATGGGTATGCAAGACATTAGTTCTAAGTTGAATAGCTAATCTCGTGCATCATGTGTGTAAAACACCATATATGTTTGTATAATTTCTTTTTTATTTTACCATGGCAAAATCAAGTTTGTAATGCTGAACTGAGTTGTACACTTTTGTCTATTTTCCTAATCCATACTGAATCATTTATTGCTACCTTTTCTACTTTATGTACTAGATAGATAGGCACAGTCTAGATCTATAGGACCATTATCATATATTGTTCCTTATGTTATAGTAATATGATAATTTTTTTATTTAGGGCCTCTTTTGAATATATATGAAAATCAAACTACTATTATTGCAGTTTTCAATTTCGAATTTACCTATTTGTACTAATTATTATTTATATGAATTGTTTATTTAGGTTTTTTATTCCTAATCCATCTAGAACTACTACCATGTAGCTGGCTATAAAATAACTTATTATGTAGCCACTTTGAATTACGATAATTACTATGTTAATTTACGAGATTATAGTAACTCCTCAGTAAGTGGTTTACTACAACGTTATGGTAAATATCTTCATGTGTTATAGTAACATAACTATCGTAAATATGTATTGACATTATCGTAAATTAGTATATAAAATTATCGTAAATAGAGGTGGCTATAGAATAACTTATTTTGTAGCTAGCTACTGAATATACTCTCCCTAATTCATCTCCAATTTTTCATAGTTTTTTATCTGGATTTGCCCTTTACTAATTATGCCAACATCGTTACAATGTACTTGCTCTGTCCCTAAATAAATAGATTTCTGGAGTTGTCTTAAGTCAAACTTTTTAAAATTTGACCGAATTTCTAGAAAAAACATTAATATTTATGGTATCAAATTAGTATCATTAGATTTACCATAGAATGTATTTTTATAAGGTGCTCATTTGATGTTCTAGATGTCGTTATTCTTTTCTATAAAGTTAGTCAAACTTAAAAATGTTCGACTAGCACGGATTCTAAGAATTGATTTATTCAGGGACAAAGGAGTATAATTTGCAGTTTTCTTAGTTTATTATTTTGATTATTCCTATTTATGATTGTTTAAGGCATTGACTCTTTTGTTTATTCTAAACCATTAGATCAACATAAAATTTAACGGTATAGGTTCTTATAATTTTCTTATAAAAGAAGCCGTCATTTTTCCTCTTGATGAAAATGACGGCTTCTTTTAATATTGTTGTAATGAGATAATAGATGATGGCGCATGCATCAAGCAAAGAAGTTCGACATGCACCTACATACGTGCATAGGCTTTACAAAAGATTAGCATAGGCATGATATAGTGTAGCTGCATACAGATTGAGATATTCAGTCTGAAAGTGTGGCCTATGAGCATATATAAAACGAGCTAGCAAGGCCGGTACCAAAGTTGGATGGAAAGTTGCCTGCGTGAATCGTGATTCGGATAAACCGAGCGTGCGTTGGAGCATATTGTGAGCACGTCAGAGGCTGGTGCCAAGTAGCAATGCCTAAACTGGACCAGACTAGCAAATATATATAATATTCTAGTTCTAGTGGTGATGGATGATTGGATATTGAGTATATGCAAAGATGCACGGCGTCTGCAGCTGATGCAAGAGTCGTCTTGTGCTCTTAGCCAAATCCAATGGGGCCAATGCTCCACTTCTGATGTTTCTCATTGGGTGTTTACGACAGTAGTTTGGGTGTGGAGAGATGAGAGTAATCATCATGGATAAGGTTTGTTATGGTGGGCAACGTGTATCAGCGGCGTAAGGCGAGACGTGGCTGAGGAGTGGGCCGTGACGTGCGACGCCAGAGCGCGGTCACCACCAGGGCGCGCCAACTTCGTCGCCAGAAGTTTGTTAGCCAGTTCATTTGATTAGGAAGATATTTATCTTTATTTGATTATCTCTTAAGATTAGCTATGAGTTTGTTAGGACTGAGGTATAAGTATGGAACATTGTTGCTTAATGAAAGCTAGCCAGAGATTGAGTTAATCTCTCTCGCACTTTGGTGTTTTGTCGCTCCGTTCATCGCTCTCGCATTCCAGCCCTAGTCCCAGGCGCCGAGCACGGCGCCGCCAGTCCGTCGTCGGGCATTCAAGCCACGGCCATCCACCTCCCATTCCGACCCTCTGCGCAACACGTCTAGCTCAAACAATATGGTATCAATGTCAGGTGCCGGAGCTTCCGCCACCGCCGCTGTTCCCTCCACCGCATCCGCCGCGTCCCCGGTGATCCCATCCGCTCACACGCACACCACCGCCGCCATTGGCACCACCGCACTGATCACCATTTCGCAACCACCATTCACCGCGGTTCCCACCGATGCCCTCAACATGCTCACCGCGGCCATCTACAGCCTGCAGCGCCAGGTGGGCGACCTCACCAAGCGCGTGGCCGCCATCGAGAGCCGACCGGTCGCCTCTGCGCCGCCACTCACGTCTCTCGGTCTGCCGGGCTATGGTGGCATTCCTCTGCTCTCGGCCTCAGCCCCGGTCATCTAGGAACAGCTCTCCTCACAACCGGTGTTGCCCTCCCAGCCGGCGAGCACCCACTCAGCGCCGCCCGCCATGACAGTCACCACCTAGCCCTTGCCCATCACGCACATCAATTTTCCACACTCGCTGTCACCTGTGCCCTCCTTCTCCTCCATCGTTCAGCCCCCCACCCACCGCCATCTGCTCCTATGCATATGTCGCCGCCACTTCCTCATCTACCACCTGACCTTGCGGTGGCCACCGCCGTTCCACGCTACCACAAGCTCTTGTTTCCCACCTACGACGGCAAAGATGACCCACTTGGCTGGCTCAACCGATGCGATTAGTTCTTCTGGGGCCAGCGCACCCCGAAGACGGGGAAAGTCTGGCTCGCCTCCTTCCACCTCACTGGCGTCGCTCAGCAATGGTACTACGTCCTGGAACGGGATGCCGGCGCGCTCGAGTGGGAGGAGTTCAAATGCATGTGCCACCAGCGCTTCGGGCCACCGCTTCGCACGAATCACTTGGCGGATCTGGCCCGGCTGTTGTTTGAAAGGTCCTAATATGGCTAGAGAGGGGGTGAATAGCCTATATAAAAATCTACAAATTAACTAGAGCAATTTGATTAGTATAACAAATAGCGAAATGCAAACTTGCTCTAGCTCTACAAGGGTTGCAAGCCACCTATCCAACAATTCTAGTTGCTATGATCACCAAACACACAGTTTGCTATGTTACTACTCACTAAGAGCTTTTACACTTTCTACACTAAAGAGCTCCACTAGATGAACTTAAAGTACAAAGCAAGCTCTCAATTCTAGTTACACTAAAGAGCTTGCTACAACTAGTTTGCAAGAATATAAATGAGTGAGTAGGGTGATTATACCGCCTTGTAGAGGAGTAAACCAATCACAAGATGAATATTAAATCAATCACCAAGAGAATACAAAAGGGCAAGAGACAACCAATTTTTCTCCCGAGGTTCACGTGCTTGCCGGCACGCTAGTCCCCGTTG